TATATTTATGTCATCATCAGATGAAGAAAATGCAGATATTAGAGGGCCGAGCGAACGGGACAGTTCCATCATGAATCTCTACTCAACTACTAAAGAACACATTTAAATAACGACGTACTATACTTACCAACACTAATTTTTCCATTTTTGCAACAGAGAAAATGCAAATCTCACATTATGGAAACTTACTAATTATAAATAACATGGCCGTTCATGTTGAAAGTACCTACTCAAATGTATAGGTTAATAAGCTCAAATTATTTCTTTGTGCTTCCTATAATGTGGTCTTCTGTAAACGTTTGAATTTGTGATTTGGTATACTTTACCTCTGAGGTACAGATATTTGAAAGTCTTTGACCAATATACTGTCGGGTTTTTCTTTTATCAGAGATAAAGATAATTCTTTCGGAGATAATATTGAGGTCAATCATTAAAAAATTGTTTTTCTGAAACTATGTTAGAAATCACTACTTTCGTCTCTAAACAGGGTGAAGAAAATGTGATTTTCTTCTCTACTGAGGAAAGTAAAAAACAATTTATTGCTGCGTTGATTTTAATAATGACATTTAAAATTCAAACATATTATACTCGTATCTAGATTGCTATCTGTCAAACTTGATTATTGTATAGGATAATTTTTTTATTTTAATTGTAGTTTCAGAAAAAAATACGTATAAAACTTGAGAAGAAAGTGTTTTTCAACTATCGTTTAATAAACTCAAGGTGAAAAACTCCACTTTCTTCTCTAGTTGTACAAATAACTATTCTTTGGTAGAAATTGTTAGAATTAAATAAGTTTATCTCATAAAATTGAGTGTATACGTGTGGTGTCTAAGGATCGTCTTTTGAATGTTATCGTTGCTAGCCAGTTTTTCAAAAATTAAGGGGGAGTTTCTGTTTAAATACGACAGACGCTAAGAAGACATCATCGGAAAACCTCCAGCGAATCAGATGATACAGAGAAAATAGAAGACTTTGGTAACTCTGGGACGGAACTATAAACGGCTGTAGACGAATCGGTTTTGGGGCGAAGAGCCCCTTTTGAGGTGAGAACCAAATTAAACTCAAACTTGCCCATGAAGCCTAAGATCCACAAAATCAAATGATGAAAATCTTCTTTAACTGCCCAAATTCGAGGGGATCCAGTCGCCGCGCCGTGGTAAAACTCCGTTCACTTAAATGTTATTTTATAAACAAGTAAAGTAATAATTTTTTTATTGAAGTAATTAATGTAATTAATGTAATGTAAAGCAATTAAAGAAATGGTTATATAAAAACAACACCATATATGATAGTATCCTAGCAACGTTATGATGGAAATATCGAGCGATATTTACCAAATTTTTTTTCCTTTTTGGTTTCTCGATTAATTGATACCGTATCTAATCAATTCAAATTATGCACTGCAGAAAGCGGCACATACCTGTTCTTTATGAAGTAGTATTTGTAAGTCGGTGGTGGAGTAATTTTTCCCACCATTTTCGCCTTAGAGTAAGTTAAGTATAAATGTTTTATAAGCTTTTTTACAATGGAGAATAAAATTGATTTGATTTGATTTGATTAATTTACAACTTTGGGTCTCGATGCAGTAGTGCTATGAGTGCTTAGTGCGTTTCTTTATCTGTTTTTATATTTAAACCATTATGTAACGTCTCATTTTTGACAAACCATGGAGCGTCGGCGATGGTTCTTTGGGCTTTATTTTGGATACGCTGGATTATGTTTATCTTACTCGTAACAGACCGATATGCTATAAGGTGTCGAACGCCTGTTTGATATCAAGGAATACTGCTGACCAGATCCGTTTCTCTTCTAAGCGACTCCCTTCTATTTTGACAATTCGATAAACTTGTTCTGCAGTTGATTGTTGACTAGATTTCTTGAGGACAGTCGTAAGTAGATTACAAATCATACTGTTTTGTTGCATCAATTGGGTGAACATGGCTTTGAATCTGTACAGAAATTCATTTAAAGTTGCATCCGTGTTTTCATGGTCGGTTAGTTAGAGAAACATTATTTTCTTTTTTTTGTTCTTTATATCTTATGCACAGTAGTTATAACACCTAGTGGTAACATTTTTTGATACTTAAACGAAATTAATTAAGAACAAAAGGTCTGCGCTAAAAAGCCTGTCTACGTAAATTCACATTTATACATATTTTGTACTTCTTAGTAGTATTAGTACGCATTTACCTTATGTTGGTGCATGAGGTGGTGGCTTATACAAAGTTAATGCCAATTCCAAAAATGGTGAATAGTATAATGCTGAAATATTACGTTTCGGAAAGAAATACGGTACTTGTTGCTTGTCGTCCTTATCAAGTACAATTGCTGCAATTTAAATTTCTTTGACACTTTTCAGAAACATGTAATAAGAATACGCAGCTTTTGTAATCTGAAACCAAATTGCTACTTACATTAAATTAACATTGAACGATATACTGTAACAAAAGTGGCCATTGAATAATGTGAAAATTTTCCAATAGTGAATACGACCGGTCGTTGTGCGTTGGCGATGAGGATCACTAATGCTTTTTGAAATCTAAGATCGGTGCCAGTAAAATCAACGTCGTACCAGGAGTCGGCCAGCTTTTCGCTTTCTGTTATAACCATTTGCACGAAATAGTAGTCGCCAAAGGTCACTATCCAACTCATACCAAAATAAAAGAGGGCAGCGTTTCTTTCTGCACTATTTATCGAAACCTTAAACGTAATTATGTAACGTGTTTACTAATTATTTTTACTTACTCTCGTTGCATTAAACAACGTGATGCACATTAAAAGTGATATAGTAACAAAGCTTGCTAAAACACATTTGTTAAAAACTCTCTCTATTTCATTGCATATCGCATGGAGAGAACCATGGCATGGAACCACTCTCTTTAACTGAACTTGTAGGTAGCGCCGTGGAATTTTATCGTTGGATATGGTGGTATTTTCAACGCCATTATCGTCACAAAATTGTTGTTTTGCTGACTTTAAAATATGTTTGAATGTCATTCTCAAGCATTTGAAATGGAATTTAACTTGTAATAGAATACATAATTTTAAACCATCCACTGCAAGATATTCGTGAACCATAACAAAGTACACAGCTATTTCAAACACAATACAACCAGTGAAGGAGTAATTTAATGCCCAGTTAGGCATGGAATTGTATGGGATTTGGGAAGTTCCTTCAACCAAGCTCCAGGTTAGAATACTCAGGCCCATAGTTGCTAATACAAGAGTTGTTGATATCTTGCTCTTCAAACAAACAAGTTTAGGATTGAAGGAAATTGGACATACCGTACAAATCTATCTGCAAGTCCCTTAAGTTTCGTCTGAATTTGAGGTCGATTTGTTACTCCATCAATGCAATAGCTTTCCAAAAGATCAAGTAGGTTTGTCAAATTTGCTCTGTGGAACCTTATAATTATAATGTGGGGAATTCCTAGAGAAATTTATTACGTAACGGAATTTATTCAATTGTAACTATCTTACCGGTTGCAAGCGCAATAGCATATAAGATGTCTTTTGGGTCATATACATTCCATTTACCAAAAAGTACCATCCCGCTGAAAAGACACAGAAAAAACGGAACCACGCAAACGGCGACTCTATCATAATTATTTACATTTTGGGATAAGTTAAGACCAAGTATCTTCAGATTGTGGCGCACTTTTGAAAAATACGATGCTTTAAACTTGTCCATTTCCGGCGAGCGAAATGCGATAAATCACTAAACGTTTTACTTTTCTACTAGGAAAAGTGGGAGTCAAATTATTTAGCTCAATTATTTATGGGATGTTCCCATTGCTGCACAATAGACTATAGAAAGTAAGTGTGCCAGCTATTAGTTGCATGAACTTTGTTAGTGATGCAAATTATCACTTATTTCGAGTAAATCTGTTTGCGAAGTTGAGTGTAGTTTAATCCTGGCGTTTCGTTATACTCACAATAAATTATGAATTACCTAAAGTGTAGACACGCTATCAATGCAAACGGGCAATGTTGTGCAGACTTCTGTTCTGCCGAAAATTCCAAATAGAACGCTAAAATACGAGTATTTGGGTTCCATTAGAAAGTATTAAATGAACTGAAAAGCGACAATTTGAAACATTCGGTAAATGTGTCTGGAGAAAGACTCTACCGCTTTATACTATGATAGAATCTAATAAGTCTATTACGAATACTTGAGTTCAATGGCACGTTTCAGTAAAGAGTATCTGAAGACATAGACACTGGACAGGTTGGGAGACGGGCGAAGGGAGCTATTTTTCTTGCATGGGCCGAATAGGCGGTACTATAAAATTTTACATCAAAATTTCAGATCAATACCACTTGTCAGTAAAAGTAACCAAGTGCAGGATAAGCAGATGGAGACACAGACGAACGTATTTATTTTGTCATATACATTACTATGCGATAGACGGTAGTGCATTTATTAAAAATGTGAAGGTTCATAATGGGTATAATGGTTGTGATAAATGTTACGTAGCAGGAAAATATTCAAACAGAAAGATGACATTCGCCGATTTAACAGCTCCTTTAAGCACCAATGAGGATTTTAATTCACATACCTTGTTAAATATGATGGTTGATGCTGTTTAATGGACTGTATAATAGGTGCTGGAAAGCACTGCTAACGTTGCGTTGGATGAAGGAAAACCACACCAATACGAACTATAAACAAAGGTGTATTTTCTTCTCATACAAATAATAATATAACTAAAAATCGATTACAATTAATGCTTGTAAATGTGCGAGTTCAATCGCATTTTAGAATATGTACGTTCTTGGTTTGGTTGCTAAACTCGCTGATAACTTCGTCTCGAATTTCACCAGGTTCAATAACGATTGCGTCCGGTTCGAAGGTCAGGTCCCTGCTCGGGCGCCACCACAAAACGTCTAAGGAAACCAAACATTGGCCCCCACCTTGAAAGGTAACACTTTCAAAATACATGTTTATGAAAACACTATTAACTTAGGTCTTCAAACTACACTGCCACATAATCAGTTTATTGGTAACGGACAAATCTTGGCGAATGAACGTTTAATGGGGCCCTTTCGGGTGTTGAAGTGGCAACTCTCGAAATTCCATCTCGGCCTGGGTGTAAGCTGTCGATTCTTCCCAAAAGCCATTTGCACGGGGGCAAGTTGTCTTCCTTTATGACAACTAGATCGCCAACCTTTAAAATCTCGTAATTACTCCTCCACTTCACACGTTGCTGTAGTTCAGACACGTATTCGAGGGACCATCTTGCCCAAAAATGTTGCTGAAGCCTCTGGACTTGCTGAAAGTGGGAGAGACGGTTTTCTGGAAGCTGCATGAATTCTAGTTCAGGCACTGCAGTTAAGGGCCGTCCGATCAAAAAGTGTGACGGTGTCAAAGGTATATAGTCTGAGGGGTCATTAGATAATGGAGTCAATGGACGCGAATTTAAGACCGCCTCTATTTGAACTAATAAGGTGTAAAATCGCTCAAAGGTTAATAAAGCATTACCTGCAACACGCTTAAGGTGAAGCTTAGTAGATTTTATACCGGCTTCCCATAAACCGCCGAAATGTGGTGAATGAGCAGGAATAAAGGACCAAGAAATACCCTCATTATTGATAGATTCAGTCAAAGTATTATTATGTTCTAATAAAAAGTGACCAAGTTGTTTTAGCTCATGGTTAGCTCCGATAAAGTTGCTCCCGTTATCGGAGTAGATCTGATTAGGTTTACCGCGACGCGATACGAAGCGCTTAAACGCCGCCAAAAAGGCTTCTGTAGTAAGGTCTGAAACTAACTCGAGATGTATGGCTCGAGTGACAAAGCAAACAAATAGGCACATATAGGCCTTTGTGACCTTAAATCCGCGACCCTGTCTATCCCTAACTGAAAATGGCCCAGCATAATCTACGCCTGTGGTAAAGAATGGTGGGGCTGGATTGACTCTTTGTCTTGGCAAGTTCCCCATTATAGGAAAAATAGGAGTGGGATTGGCCCTAAAGCAATCCACACAGTCATGGCAAACCTTTCTTGCTAAATTACGACCTGAAACAGGCCAAAAATATTCACGAATTGAAGAAAGTAAAAGTTGCGGTCCAGGATGTAGCAATAGTTTATGCCATTTATGAAATAGCAATCTAGTGAGTGGATGTTTGCATGACAAAATGATCGGATGTCTTTTGTGAAATTGAAACTTTGAGTTCACGAGCCTGCCACCAACTCTAAGCAGACCTTGATCATCCAAGAAAGGGTGTAATTTTAATAATTTGCTATGTTTATTTACGAATTTATTTCGGCTTAAGGAACGAATTTCATCCGAAAAGCAATTATGCTGAGAGATTTTGATGAGAACATCAGCCGAATATTTTATTTCGCGTGCTTCAAGTGGTCCAACTTTGCGCTCGCCCAAGCCCTTCAGACAATTTTGTTTAAATCGAAAGCAGTAAGCTGTTACGCGCTCTAACTTACATAAACTAGAATATTTCGAAAAATCAATAACGCAATCGATCGTAGTAGCAGCATTTGTTTGCACTATTTTGCGCACTTCAGGCAAGCTTTCTTGCGAAATCCCTTTTGTAGGCCAAAACTGTTCATTTAGCTTTAGCCACGCAGGGCCTAGCCAATAGGTGTTAAGAGCTAACAAATCACATGGATTAACGCCACGAGAAACGTAATCAGCGGGGTTGTCCTGCGTTGGAACATGTCTCCATTCAGTGACGTCCGCGTGCTCCTGGATTCCTACAATACGATTAGCCACAAATACTTGCAGTGAGTTAGGGTTCATACGTAACCAACCTAATACGATCGTAGAATCGCACCAACAGACGACTCTGTTAATAAAAACCTTTAAAGACGATTTTACCTTGTTTACTAATCTTGAGAGTAACAACGCAGCCATAAGTTCCAACCTAGGAATGGTTTGCGTTTTAAGAGGTGCGACCCTTGATTTTGCGCATACAAGTCTAACTAAAGTATCGCCCTCAGCGTTTTCCGATTTAATATAGACACAAGCGCCATAGGCATAGGCCGAGGCGTCCGAAAATCCGTGCATTTCAACTAGTATAGGATTTGTACAGATTACTCTACGGCCTATTTCAAGGCTATTTAAAGAACTTAACTGATCTCGGAATAATAACCATCTTGAATGTAAACTATATGATAAGGAATTATCCCACTCTAACCTTTCTAACCATATGTCACGTAAAATAATTTTTGCTAGAACTATGGTCGCACTTAATAGACCTAACGGGTCGAATAATTGTGATATCTCCGAGAGAACAACGCGTTTAGTGATATTTTTCCGGGAACCATCACTTATTTTATAGAACAGACAGTCCCTTTGGCCATTCCAAAACAATCCCAAAGTTTTTGTGTTCTCGTTCACGCCTAAATCAATTGAGTCAGCCTTATCGTTAGTATGTATACCTTCTAGAACCTTGTTGCTATTGGATACCCACTTACGCAAATGAAATCCAGCTTTACCGAGTGTCAACGCTATGCTATTTCCAATTTCAACCGTCTTTTCTACGGTCTCGGAACCCGTCAGAAGATCGTCTACGTAGAAATCTTCCTTTATTGCTCGAGCAACTTCGGGAAATTCCGCCTCACATTCGATTCCTAACTGAAAGAGACATCTTATCGCTAAAAACGCTGCCGATTTGGTACCATAAGTAACGGTCTGCAATTCATAAGTGCCTATTTCGTCGGTTTTGTTGTTGCGCCACAAAATACGTTGTAAGGTCCTTTGGGTTTCATTTATTTTGCACATGCGATACATCTTCTCCACATCAGCGGCAATGACATAATTGTGCTGTCTATAACGAATCAAAATACTGAAAAGATCTGACTGAATGGTAGGGCCTGTCATCTGCAAATCATTAAAGGAAATTCCAGACGTACTAGGACACGAAGCATCAAATACAACGCGAAGTTTGGTTGTTAGACTACTTTCCTTTAAGACGCCGTGGTGAGGCAAATAATAAGAAATTGCGCTGTTTTGTTTATTGTCAACCTTAAGCATATGTCCCAACCTCTCATATTCGCTCATGAACTTGCAATATTCTGTCTTAAAGGAGTCGTCACGATCAAACCTTCGTTCCAAAGATAAGAACCTTTTGTGCGCTGTATCAAAGGAGTCCCCTAACCTATCTGGATCTTCTACTAGAGGGATTGTTACAATAAACTTATTGTCACTGTCGCGTTTGAATGTTTTACGAAAATGATCTTCACAGGCCCTTTCCTCATTTGACATAAGCTTGGTGCGTGGGAACTCCTCAATTTCCCAAAAACGCGTGAGCTGCTCGTCAACGTCAATATTTTTAGCGAGCTGGCATCGTACCCTTTGATGCGATCCGCCTCCCATGCGACCCGAAATAATCCAACCTAATTTTGTTTTTTGTGCAAACGGGCCCTCTGCACCCAACCTTATTTGACCTACACATATTAGATCCCAAAAATAATCGGCCCCTATTAACATATCTACATTCCCTGCTGAATCAAATTTGGGATCAGCTAAAGTTATGTTGGGAGGAATGTTTAACTTGCTTCTGTTAATTCTGAAATTAGGCAAATTACTCGTTATATGAGGAACTATTAAACAAGAAATCTCAAAGGAGAAATCATTAACCTTAGATTTAATGCGTGCAACACATTTGCTTTTACACTCTGACTCGGAATCGCTAAATCCGCAAATTTTAATATTGATTGAGCTTTCTGATAACTGTAATTTTCTCGAAAGCTGCTGGGTGAGAAAACTACTTTGAGAACCGGCATCAAGTAAGGCACGCGCAGTACATGGCTTGTTGTGTTTGTCAAGAATGTCAACTAACACCGTAGCTAATAATACTTGATTGGTTGATATGTTTAAGGAGGACAAGTTTACACGCTCCCGGTGCATATCTTCAATGTTTTCGATTTGGTTGCTTCCAGACGCGTTTGCGTTGCTGTCAGGCTTCGAGTTGAAATGTAGAAGCGTATTATGTTTCGCCCTGCACGTTTTACAAGGGCCTGAAAAACACCGTTTTACCATGTGTCCCGACCTTAGACAATTTAAACACAAATGTCTTTTCTTCACTTCTATCGAACGTTCTTCCGGACTTAATTTTAAAAACTCTGGACAGTTTTGCACATAGTGTCCTTGTTTACAAAATGAGCAAATAGGCTTTACGCTCGAATTCTCTGTAACAAAGGATTTAATTTTTTTATTTCGTTTATTTGCATCCGAGCCCTCAACAGCGACAGCTTTATTTTGTTCAATGGATTCAAGAAGACAAGCTCGCTCTTTCAAAAAAGAAGATAAATTGTCTAAAGTAGGTACCGTGTAGGACACCTTTATTTGTTCCCACTTGCGAAGTGTGACATCATCCAACTTACCACTTATCATATAAATAACAAGGGTATCCCAAGTCTCTACAGGTTCATTTAGGGTTTTGAGCGCTCGCAAATGCTTGGCAACACTATCAACCAACTTACGCAAACCACTGGAAGATTCTACTTGTAGTTTTTCAACATTGAACAAAGCCTTTACATGATTCTGAATTAACATTTTACTATTATTAAATCTATCACAAATCAAAGCCCACGCAGTTTCATAATTTATTGCCGATAGTTCTAAGCTTGCGATAATTTCAAGCACGCTAGGACCGAGATACGATTTGAGATAATGAAATTTCTGTACGCTCGATAAGTTTATGTTTTGATGTATTAACGATTCATAAGTATCCCGAAATTCAAGCCACCTTTCGTACTCTCCATCGTAGGTAGAGATTTCAATAATCGGTAGCTTTACCCCGTAAGCCTTTTTCGTCTCGTTACTAACTATAGTACTATTAGAGACATCGCTCTTTATATTTTGGAAACCAAACATACCTACTCAACGGAACGATCATAAAGGAAAAACTCCACTGTCTGCACTTAACATCGGATTAGGATCAACTTTTGCAAATGATTAGGCAAATGTATTGTCATGAGAAAATTATTGTTCGCTTGGCGTGATAGTGTCCATTATACGATTTCACAAGAGAGTTCATAAGCAAACTTTCAAAGAAAATCGATAGGATTAACAAGCATTGGTCATGTAAATTTAATCGGAAACCAAGAACGTTATTAGAAATAGAGCTTTGGAAAGCTACTAAATATCGTCAGTTTTTTGTTATATCTTGGCCCTGTATTACATGTCGACATTCTACCAAAACAAATGTACTGCACATTTGGTATTACTTACTATTCTGTTAAATACCGCATTAAATAGATGTTACAATGAATATGCTGCCGAACTATTAAAACTATTTTTGTGCAACATGCAGTTCGAAGATTAGGTGCGTATAATGTGCAGTGTGCAATGTGCATGCAGAGCTGATCGTCATTTTAGACATTCTCAAATAAATTGTCACAGAAGAAAGGGACTCGATATATATATATTCATTGTTGCATTTTTATCGATAGTTCCCAAAAAACAAATGTGCTCAAGGCGACATTTTGAAAAATGGTGGCCAAAATACGATTTTTTGGGTTTTATTACTTATCCATTGAGTTTCGAAAAAATTATCTTAACAAAAGTTGATTATTATGTAATTATCTACATCTTTTGTTATTGCCAGCTGTTTTCTTTTCATTCATGTCAATAATAGCAATAACTTGTTCAATATCACTGTCAGAACCTATTACAAGAGCAAATACCCATTTGAGAAAATTTTTGAGGTAAATAAAAATGTAACATTAAACAAACAAAATTGTTTGTAAGACAAACGGTCGCTACCCAAAGGACATAACTTTAATTTGGAAAAGTCCTCGGGCGGATATGGTGAAAGCGGCGATGGGTCGATTAGGTTTGGTCAGCGCTATCTACCAATACCCCTGTTTCATGTCGAGACTGGAGATACAGCGCGCTTGCCGAAGGCGGTCCAAAAGCCCATTTATAAACGGTAAAGGGTAGGCATCTTTAATAGTGACTTCATTCACTTTCCCACATTTTGCCATGAACTTTCAGTAGGTTCTATGACATTTTCGGCCAGCATACTACCTACTTCTTCATTGACGAGAGCTTGCATTCTGAGATATAAACGGTAAAATAAACTAACGACAAAAACAAAAGTTAACAGTAAACCGGAATGGCTCCCTTCAATTGGTTAAAAGAATGGGTCGCCGGGGTCGAGTGCGGGGATATAAAAGATTCACTGATCGTAGTCTGTTTATTTATTTGTCAAAAATCGGGTGTTATGTCGTAATCGGGAAAGGTCGTAATTGGGTAGTTTTCTAAATACAAAAAGTCGAAATCAGCACATGCCGTAGATGAATGCATCACTTAACTTAAGTACCTACATAAATTACAAAGTACTATGAACTTACCTAAATACAAAAAGTCGAACTCCACAAGTTATCTTAATTATTAAAATTAAGTTCGCTATGCTGGACTATGGCTCGCCTTATACTAGTATTGTACATCAAAATTTCCAAATAACAAGGACACCAGGAAAATGAGATACTGCTGACCACATGTAGAAACATATTTGAATTTGAATTATTACTGATAATTATTTGTTAATATATATACTAGCAGCGCCATCTGTTGAGGTAATAAAGTGTATTTTAGCCAGATTCCTATTTTATTTTAAATTACTTATGTGTTTCGCTATAACAGGTCACCTGCAAGTTTCCTGTATTTGGGAAAACAGTTACTTAGCGATTATTAGATAGATTAGATATTTTATAGATACAATGTAATACATCAGTTCCAGCTGATCGACAGGTAACCCTCTTCAATTTGAAATCGAGTGTTTGAATTTCATCGACAACATGGGACTTCTTTAATACTCTTTAACACCTCAATACTCATAACGTACAAACGAAGATATTTCCAAAAAGTACTGTTTTCGGATTGAGATATAGGTAAAACAAGGATAGGTAATCGAATTAAAACATGGTATAACCGAAAGAGGATACAGCCACGGCCCATTCGCGTAAAAGACGCTTAGATAATTAATATAAACACTTTTAGCGTGATGATTATAATTTTCCAATATATCAAAATCTTTCAATAAAACAACAGGACGTTATAATCTTTCCGACGACACCACTTTAAAAGTAACTGGTGGACCAGAACTGTAGAAGAAGCTCGGGGATGGCGCTCGGATGTCGGCGACACCACATTATGTGGCCCCGTCCCTAAAATTATTAATTACACCGGCCCGCGCGTTTGCTGCCAGCAAGCCGGCCAAAGTGAGATTAAAAGCTAGGTACCTTTTTACAAATAAATTTGCAAAAATGCACTAGAAAACGATTTGAAATTATCAACTGTCTAAATTTTTTTATACGTATCATGAATTGTGAATAGTTCTAAATGTACTTAATTCTTTACCCTTTCAATGTAGCCTGTATGGCAAGTGCATCTGTAAACACACAATAGCACAGTACCTCATATTTCATTATTAATATAATACGAAATATTTATTAGTAGTAGTAGGTATTCGTATCGTAATAGTGACGTGTACTTTTATTGTGAAAGTTAACTTACTTGCTTAGGAGATTGCTTCCCTCATGTCAAACCTTGTGGAAAAAACACTCGATTTTAATGAATTATATGTTTTTCTACGGATTGATTAGTATTTCTCTCCGCAAGGTCCTTTGATTTTCGATTTTAATCCCAACACAATCTCACGACACTATTATAATACAAACGCTGTAAAGAAGGGAATTTATACGTCCACTCCATCCAGGAGACACACGATGAAAACTCGAACAAAAGTTGCTATTTCTATTACATGGATTGACGTGTTGCTAATTATATATTCATTAGGTAAACAGGGTGCCCATTATGTATAGAATATAGTATATATATCGGTAAATATCGACTGTGTACAAAATTTTTCTATGTGAAAGTTGTTTAACATTTTATTTCCCATAATAAGGCAGCATTCCATTGTTTTTATTTCAGAAAACAAATGAATAACGAAAAACAATTGAATTGACTATTTTTAAATTGATTCTATCGACCACGGTGGCTGTACATTTTAAGTTTTTTATTATATCATATACTTAGTTAATAGTTGTAATGATAGTTCTCCATTTTCTGGTTCCATATGAAAGCATGGGTGTATAAGAAAGAACCACGTGGTTATTTAATTGATATATGGTCAATGCCCATCATCAGGCTTAGCTAAAATACACACAAGTTAATATCGTAGATACGTAGACAATGGTTATTTACCGTCAAGTATTGTAAAATTGGAGCTTTAAATGAGTGTCATAGATGGAATTGGTAGTTACCCATAGGTACGGTGGTATTTTTCAATTAAATTTTTTTTTAATTTTTACAAAACAAAACAGGTTTTTTCGGTTTTTTTTAGGTTTGTAGCCTGTTTTTACTGATACTTTAACTTCGGGGTATCCGGCTTGGAAAATCCTAACGAGACTGCAAGAGTTCCCGAAGCAGTTTTTAGCACCCCACCCCTCCTTATATCACCTTGATGGCAAGAACATCGATCAGCAGATGACACTCCATCAAAAAACATTGTTTCTTCTTCGTTGGCAAATCGCGCGAATTCCTATCGGAAATGTCATAGAAATTTTAAATGCATATATACGGTTTCGGATATTTTTGTAGTTATGTTGTGTTAGCATTATAATAGTATGCTTAATCTACATATTAAAGTAATCCACGTAAATAATAAAAAGTTTTCTGGGACCTCATCAGTACAAGCTTTCTTTCAGCAATGCTTTAAAGTTACGTATACGACCGTATATTTGCGTATTTAGAAAATTGTCATTTCTATATGCGGTACATAAAAACTTCTTTTAAACGTATACGACGGAGACCCGCTATACCCTCCAATACCGCACTGACAATAGGTAATTCAAAAACAGGTCAGCTTTTTTTTCGAGAGGGGCCAACTTTTATGCAAAAATCGTTCTTGCGACTGTAGCTCTGTGCTAGGGGTTGCATCACTCCACAATATAAATTAGATGAAGGGGTTTTCATTGCCTCCCGTTTTTATTTTTTTAAATTAATATTGCTCGAGCTTCCATTTGTCAAGACCTTTTTGAGTTATTATGATCATTCTTTGCCGGAATTGCATAGCGTATGTTCGATGATATGCCTTGTGGTAAAGTACGTGGCGCCCTTTGGAAATTACTTTAGGCACATCAAAGAACCTTCCCCTTTTCCAAAAACCTACCGGAGCCAGGTTATGCTCGTTATAACTTTTTAACAACCGTAACTTTTGCGCCGTTGCAATTATTTGAATTTCAATAAAATCTATTACCATACACTTGCTAATTGAATGTTTTGGATGAATGAGGTACATTAAGCTTTCACGATTCATATCAATAAAGTGAAGCGTCTAAAATTGACATAAAATGATTAATAGTATTGCTTTACAAAAAGCTTAATTTTGCGGAATCGCTCGTTTCAATCTTTAAACGTTTTCCAACTGTGATTTACTATCAGTTTTCGCCTCCGAGATAGTTGATTAAAGCCCTTACGCGAGAGACATTTTTTTATTTAAACAGTGTCATCATTTTAGTTTCCACGCGTCATAAAACAGCGTA